TTATGAATTTGTATTTGATTTGGGTAAATAATTTAATTGTAATCAAAATTCATCATTAATTGCAATATTCAATCAGTTTCAAATCATATATAGTTGGTTTAGGAAATTTTGGCTATGTTACACTAATCTTTCCTAAAATCCTATGATGATGCCGATAATAATGCTAATAATTAAATACTTTCTAAATTAAATGATATTTCAAATATATTCACGGTTTTTTAATGGGTAAGGTAATTAAGATCCGCTCATTTTTAATTTCCCGGTTAGAAGATCTTTGTATTTAGAATATAAATATAACTAATCAGGTTGTTTTTTATTTCTCTTTCTCATTAAACAGGAATCAATCAAAAATCTCAATTTAATCAGTCTTTGTCATGTCATATTTGACGTGGAATAAACGACATCATTGACATAAACAATGACTATTTTTTAAGCCAATCAAATTAAAACATCTAGGATTTTTTCATTAAACTTTATTTTCATTTAATATATATGATAAACTGATCAAACGAAACTACTTTTTAATTAGTAAATGTACTTACAAAGTTGTTTAATTTCACATAGAGGCTTCTTCACCGTATCTTGCATGAAATCAGCTTCCTACATCTGTAGTTCTGTTGAGAACTCTGCTAGATCTTGAAAAACAACTTTTTCTTTTTTGATTGGGTCAAATGGTGCATGCTGATGTAAATGAGCAACAAAAACAATCCATACCCATCATAGTTAACCTAAAGTGAAAGAAAGAAAAGCAAAATCTATGAATATTCTAAAACATGCTATAAGAAAATATAAAACTACTTCTTTTGCATCTCATTAATGTCATCATCCATGATTACTACCAAGAAAAGCATTCAAAAACCAAATCAAATATTAGAATCATGATAAATATATGAACATCAACAACATAGATGGCAAACCGATAACAAAAAAAAAAGAATATTGGCATCAGAAACTTTAAAATAATGCATGTTATGAATCTGCATTACTATTATATCATGGTACATAGAAGATGACAATTAGTCACGGTGCTATTTTTCAATCAATCTTTGAGAGATTAGACTGAATATCATGGAAAAACAGGTTTTAATGCAAAAATATATAACATAATATACTGATAGTATTGCCAGGTTTAACACTAACAAAAATATTGAAAAGTAGAACGATTCTTTGAATTAGCTTCATACCATTGAGATCCTGCAAAGAAAAAAAAGAAAAGAAAAAAGAACATCAGTTCAAATCATTATTGAACATCAGATCCGGCAAATGGACTCTCTATTTATATAAGGTAAAATCATGCGAGGATTTGTTAGAATAAAGAAGAATAATTCTTTTGAAATCTTTATTTTTAATTTGGCTAATTATTTGGTACATTCGTGAAGCATATATTAAGAATATTCGTTAAACATATATTAGGAAGCTTGCAATCTTTACAAATATCTCGGAAATATTTAATTATAACATTTGAACAATACATAAATTGTGCTTTGCAAGTTTTGAAAATAATATCACAATTTCTAATTTAAGGAAATAAAAATATTTCAGAGTATTTCAACAACTAAATAATAAAAGATGCATTCAATGATATTTACTAATTCAAATATGAAAACAGAAAGATATGAAATCTGTATTACTAAAAGAATGTTGTCTACATGCATGATCATATTTCTTTAAATTATAGGCAGCAAAATTAACAGAACAAATTTTTAAAATTTAGAATTTAAGGCAATATCCTAAAATTATGTGATTCTAAATTATCATTGATGCAATAACGGAAAATCTACATTTATTGTTTAGATTTAATGTTAAAATTTTTTTTATTAAAATTGTATTCGTTATTTATGAAATTTTAAGTTCTAAATTCCAAAATTATATTTATATTTTGCATAATTATGTCAAAATATTTTACATAATATGCTTTCAAAAATATGTAAATATATGTTGCTTAATAATTTATTATTAAATTAATTTATATAGGAAAATATATAAACAATACGAAAGAGGAAAATTATATTTTAAATTAATAAATGTCAAAAAAAATAATCTGAATTTTTAAAATTGTGAATTAAAGTAATATATAAACAATTTAATTAATTAAACAATTTTTTGTTATTAATATTTATATGATGTTAAATATTTTGGCCCATAAATTTATTTTAGCCCAAAAATTTAATTATTTTGGCCTAATAAAAATATAAATTATCAGATTTATTTTTGGGCTCAAAAATTATTGAGATTGCCATGTCACATTTGACGTGAAATCTCTCATTAAACAGGAACCAATCAAAAGAGTGTTTTTACCATGTCATATTTGACGTGGAATAAACGTCAATGACAGTTTTTTAAGCCAATCAAATTAAAATATAGGATTTTTTCATTAAACTGCATTTTCATTTAATATATAGTATCGTTTTCTTAACCCTAATTTTATATCATATCGTTTTGTTAAAAAAAAAAGTTCAAAAACAATTAAAGTTTAAAAAAAACCCCTATGACCTAAAAGATATGGTCGGGTCGGGTACTGGGTCGGATAACCCTACTCGAACGAGATACCACATGACAAATTTTGAACACAAACCTCAACGGTGATATTGACACGTGACAGCCTCTGAATTCGACCGTTGCTGCTTTGCTGGTAGACGTTTTTTTCCCTTTTTAAAATTTTATCCCTTTCTTCTCCATTCGATCTGTATGTTTTGTAAATTGGTCTTTCTCTCTCTTTCGCTCTCCTTCTCTCTCTCTTTCTCCATCATTCTCTGTATCTTGGCTCATCGATCTCTTTCATGGGGATTTCTACGGAGACGCAGCAACAAGAGAAGGTAAGAAATCACTGGTTCTGATTCATGAATTCGAACTACCACATGATTCCTCTTTCTTTAATCGAATCCATTTCAATTAGGTTTTGTAAATATTACCTGATCTCTCGCTTTACTTCCTTGGTTCGTTTGCGATTTCTTGCGTTGGTCTGTGTTAATGGAATGTGTTTCATTCTAATTCGATCTTTTCTGTTTAATTTGAGAATAATTTCCTCGCAAGATTTTGCAGATTTCGAGCAAATTAATGATGTATGTTTGTGGATTTAGCGATAAAACCGAGGATTATGATTTGGGATCTAAACGATCTTTGATTTTATCGATATATTGTTTTTATGCTATCTTGATTGAGAGGATAATAGATCTTCGTTCAATTTTAGATTAACAAAAGACTTTTGTTTGGTAAAATTTGTCCACTTTCGAGATGTGATTCAATTCAGATCGGTTTCTTGCGATTAATTATCATTTTCTGAGAGTGAATTGGAATGTGTTTGTGTGATCTATTGTATCAGGAGGCTTCAGAGACTGCACAAAAGAGATGGACTTTGAGCGATTTCGACATCGGAAAGCCTCTTGGCAGAGGGAAATTTGGACATGTCTATCTAGCAAGAGAAAAGAGGGTTAGTAAGTTCACAATTTTGAGTTGTTAGAGAAGTAATTTTGGTGTCTTTTTAACCAAAGTTGTCATTTTGTAACAGAGCAATCATATTGTGGCTCTAAAGGTTCTTTTTAAGAGCCAGCTTCAACAATCTCAAGTTGAACACCAGCTTAGGAGGGAAGTAGAGATCCAGTCTCATCTTCGGCATCCCAATATCCTACGGCTATATGGCTATTTCTATGATCAGGTGTTGTGTTTTGTAAGAACTTCTTTGTTGACTTACAATATTTGTCTCTTTGAAAGTCAACAACAATTTCTTGGTTGTTGCAGAAAAGAGTCTACTTGATTCTAGAGTATGCAGCTAGAGGTGAACTTTACAAAGAGCTTCAGAAATGCAAGTACTTCAGCGAACGTCGAGCAGCAACTGTATGTTCTGAATGTGTTCAAGTCTTTCCTATATTCACACTTCTTGTGGTACGAGTTAACAATACACTTTTGTGTTTATTGTGGCAGTATGTTGCGTCGTTGGCGAGAGCACTCATCTATTGCCATGGGAAGCATGTGATACACAGAGATATAAAGCCAGAAAATCTATTGATTGGTGCTCAGGTAACAAATACTAATCTATTTAATCTTCGACGCCATGTGATTGAAGGTTAGCTTGCATATTTATGTGTATTCGTTGGTATACTATCAGGGTGAGCTCAAGATTGCAGACTTTGGATGGTCAGTACACACATTCAACCGCAGAAGGACTATGTGTGGCACTCTGGATTATCTTCCACCTGAGATGGGTAAGTGGAAGCTATTTGATTTCTAAAATTAGTCTCAATCGGTAACCAGTTAGATAATTGACTTTTCTGCTATTGGAATTACAGTGGAAAGCGTAGAACACGATGCTAGTGTTGATATCTGGAGTCTTGGAGTTCTCTGTTATGAGTTTCTTTATGGTGTCCCTCCTTTTGAGGCCAGGGAGCATTCAGACACATATAGAAGGTAACTAAACAATTTCATTAAGCTTAGGATGAGATTAGTTACATATGTTGTTGTTATCGAACAAATTAAGAACACTCTTTGTTCTACAAACCTTACAGGATTGTGCAAGTGGATCTAAAATTCCCTCCCAAACCCATTGTGTCCTCATCTGCAAAGGATTTGATTAGCCAGGTTTCTACTCGCATTTCTAGTAAAACATCTCTTAACCATACATGCATTGAAGAGTTTTTTTTTTTTTTTTTTTTTGGTTAAATGTTAAATTATGCATTGAAGAGTTGATTCTGATTTTTTTGCAATTTATGATCGAAACAGATGCTGGTTAAGGCATCTACGCAACGTTTGGCCTTGCACAAGCTTCTGGAGCATCCTTGGATTGTGCAAAACGCAGATCCATCGGGCATCTACCGAGGTTGAAGAAGCTTTCATGCGTCCATGCAAAGAAGAATAGATTGCATTCTGGTTGTATTCTTGGAATTACTAAAAGGAATTCGACCAATTCATAGTCTTATCATCTACCTAATGTTGCAATTTTTTGTATTATATCTGTTAACAAAGTTTATAGCAACCAGATTCGTGTAACGTGACATCAATTAGTTTCGAATCTTGTATCACTTTGTTTTAATAAATAGTTTCGAATAGTTTTAAACTAACACCATATTTGTTCTATGAATTGGTCATCAATCATTTTCTTTCAAAAGTTGAATGAGACAAGAATGAACATTGTTTTTTTTTTCCTTTCTAATTAACCTCAATAATGAAATTTGGTATAATATTGTTGTAAGCTTGAGTCGAGTGTGACACTGGTGGTGGTGTAATCTCAGAAGGCGTATCGGTAAATGGCATCAGCAACACCATCTTCGTCGTTGCTTACACCGATTACATCAGCCACGGCCTTTGTCTTCTCTGCACCGTTGCTCATAGCGACTCCAAATGAAGCAAGTTCCAGCATCTCTATGTCGTTTTCCCCATCCCCAATCGCCATTATCTGATAAAAAAAATCCGGTTTGCTTAATAACGAATTATCATACTTATGAACAAATAGATCAAACAAATCCAGTCTAAGAAGCTTGAGTTCAGGGGTTGGTATTCGAATTTTCGTTTTGGTTTCTCCGGTTTTGACTTTGAAGATAACAAATTTCAGTAGATGTTTTACCTCATCCGCTGAAACGCCCAAATGATTGAGTAGCATTTTGACACCGTTCCCTTTGGAGGTTCCTGGTGGGACGATTTCTAACATATCTGATTGAGCTTGAACGACATTAGCACGGTCTCCTGTAGCTTCTGACCAATACGGACGGATAATAGATGAGACTCCCTCGGTCGTGTCCATAAAAATCACTTTCTGCGGATACAAGATAACCAAACATTAGTACTTAGGCTTCTACAGATGTAAGAAAGCAAAATCTTAAGTTCTAACACCCGGAATTTACCTGAATGTCAGCTTCAGCTATAAGTTGATCAACCGACGGTATGATTTCGGCCTGTTAACATAAAACAAGTAGAGATAGTGTAAGAACCTGATAAGATAACTAGAAGGCGAGAGAGCGTAACGGTTTCATCAACCTACCTTTGGCTCATTGTAGGTTGTGTGAAGAGAATCAACGAGAGGGTGGTCAAATAATGTCAAGCAGCGATCTTGGCTGAATGCAATGAGAGGAATCCCATGCTCCAGAGAATAACGACACGTCTGCATATCACAAGTCAACATTTTGGCATGCATGAGACAGAATTCCTAGCTCTTAGTTATTCGGTCACGATCACACGGATAATAAGTTGAAGACAATCAAAGGTAGCTAAGTAGTTTTCTGCTTCCCATGGTAGAGAACTATGATGCAAGAAGACTCAGTTCCAGAATTCTAATGCATGTAAAGCGGAGGGTGTGATAATCATATCTGTGATGGTCGTTTTAATCTTAATTCTAAGTGAATTACCTCTCTGCAGACATCTCGGTCCAAGTTTCCTCTATAAACTTCTTTCCCCTGTCTACCATAGACAAGTAGGCCCTGCAATTAAACAGAATTTTAGTGAGATATATGGTGATATAGAAAGCAGATATATACAATTAGAAAGGTGTATCTCACTGGTTAAGAAAGAGAAGGGACCTGAACGAATACGCCAGGAGAGGACTCTGAAACAATGCCATCGGATCCAGCTAGATTAGCCATTTTCAAGATTCTGATCGCACCTGGGCGGGACTGTGACAAATAGATGAACTTAGCAATAGCCATCTCCAAAACATTCTGAAGAAGAAATATTAACAGAAAAGAAGGGAAGACATTATTAGATAGATACTGTTCTCTTCTCACCTTCCCCGTAGCTATCACGACTTTAAGTCCCCTCAGAGTGGCTTCTTTTAAAGCTTTCGCATTAGCTTCTGAAATCTGACTTTTACTGTTAAGCAATGTGCCTAGCATTCACATTAAAATCCTATCAGAAATAGAAGGAAATCGAAAGCGAGAACTACAGATTGTTGAACACTTACCATCCATATCACAGAATATATAAGAGAACTTTGGTTTGTAGAATCTTAGGCCATCCCCTTTCTTCCTGTCTTTTAACAGTAGTCTTAGCAAGGACAAGCAAACAGTATTTTGATAGTAACCCCCTTGGCGGAGGAAGTGAACGATGGTTGCAATTTGCTAACTCGTATATAGAGGAACTTACCATCTGATTTCTCCGGCTGAGGTTTAGCTGTTTTTTCGATGTCATATGCACTCTGAATGAGCCCTTTCCCTTTCCACCCAAGGCTCTTTAGAAGCAACTCCTCCTGTTCTTCCATTTCTTTCTCTGCCTCGTCGCTGATTTCATGATCAAATCCCAGTAGGTGTAACAACCCATGAATCTTTCAAAAAACATAATGGTATCAGTAAAACGAGGCTGCAAAAAAGATCAAGAACTATACTTCTAAGCAAAAGGAAAATAAGATAACCAAAGAAAATTCTTAGTGTAGTTCTAATTTACACAACATAAGGATCCACATTTTACTTCTATGTTTTGGTTCAAAAATAAGTGAGTAACCTACCACAAGAATGCGTATCTCATCAAGAAGGGTGTGCCCTCTCTCTGCAGCCTGCCTCGCAGCTGTCTCAACAGAAATGACGATATCTCCCATCATAAGCTACAAGAACGATGCACCGTGCGAGTTAAAATCAGACTGTTAAAAACCAGTAAATGAAAATAACAACTCTTACTACTGGAAGCTTCAGTTCAGGGACATGTTGCGACATTGACAGAACATCGGTAGCATGATCTTCGTCCCTCCACTCTTTGTTGAGTTTAGAGATGAACTCATCGTTGCAAAGCATTACAGACAATTCCACGGTTTCAAACCCACCAACATCTTCTATGTCAGTTTCTCTTGTTTTATACTTAGAATCTTTCAATCCATCAAAAGCTAGCTTCATTGCCATTGGCACATTGAGACGAAGCATTTCCGCAATATTCTACAGAATCTCAAAAGAGAGAATTAAGAACAGCAAATCGAAACAACCAGAGCTTATGACTCTCCCAGAAACGATGATTTTATATTCAAATTCGATTATCAAAGACAAGAAATAGATAAACCTGAATCTCAAGATCATTAGGAAGCTGCTCCTCGATGCAGATACTGACACTAAGCTCCAATTCCTGTTTCTTCTTAGGTGCTCTCTTCCTCATCTTCCTACTATATTCTCTCCTCTCCGCAAACACACGACCCGCCGGTTTTGGAAGCTTCCAGTCTCTTCCTCCTCCGCTGCGAAGGGCGTGGAATCTCCGGCGGAACATGGAAGAGAAATCCGAGGTGGACAATGAGGAAGAAACATCGAGACGATTCGCTGTGGTCACAAGAGCAGTTCTCGGAGAAGACCGTAAGAAATGGGGTTGGAGGAGACGGGCATGGTGGTAAAAGGCGGCGCGTGGCATTTCACGCGTTCCTGCGGTGGAGCAGAGACGAAGATGGCGGAGGATTGGGCAGAGACGAGAGAGCATGAAGAGAGTGGCTCAGAGATGCGTGAAGGCGTCTTCCGGTCTGCAAATTTTCCTTAGGTGTGGAGAATACAAACCAAATCGAACCGAAACTATTCGAACTATAACCAAAATTATACACCGAACAAACCAAAATTGATCAATTTAACTATTTCAGTGTCATTAAACCGAATTAATAACTAAATACTAGTAATCACATTAACAAACGAGAGTTTGAATTCCGGAAAGTTTTTTTTCTAAATCGTTTAATAGTGGGTATAATGGAAAATCGAAGATTTCTAATCTAATTAATGCACAGGTATAAAGATCATATAAACCTCTATAGTGATGATTTTACAAAACATATTGTATGTTTTTAATTTTGGAATTATTGAGAATCAAAACCTAGTTTAGTAAATTAGATTTAGTAAACTTATATGGAAAAAAGATCCGATAAATCAAAGAATCGAGTTAAAAACCATACTAATATCTGTGATTAAACAGGCTAAAATCTATATTATTAAAAGAGATACATATTTAGACTTTATAAAAATATTTTAATTATTATATCCAATATTTTAAACCCTTCTTATATTATTGTCATCGTATCAATCTGAAATTTCATAATGGAATTACAAATCATTATTTGGATAGTCCAAATAATTCCTATATTTTCCATATATTTTAGATGCACTTTACCTACCTAAACCAAAATATTTCGTATTCTGTATATATAGAAGTAATTAAACTAAATAGACTCCCTATGAAAAACGAACAATATTGCAAATCAAATATATAAAAATGATCTTAATCTATCATATTCCAAAGACATTTCAAATTCAAATTCATAATTAACCGCCTACAATATTTTCCATCTTCTAAAGATTGCATCCAACATTTACCCTAGCATCACCACATTCGTTATTTCGCTATATATAGTTACCACTGTTGTTATCGAATTCATCACACCAGCTAAGCAATATTTAGCTTACATACTCCCTCTTCAAAATTATGCGATGTCGACCTTCACATCCCTCACTGCCCTAAAGCCATTCAAAACCCAATGGAGGATCCGTGTCAAGATACTGAAGTTGTGGAAACAATATTTGAATGGGATCGAGACTATGGAGATGGTCGTTGTCGATGAATTGGTATTGCTTTATACTTTGTTTGTTCGCTATTCATACTGATCCATTTTGCTTATATATTTTTTTTTTACATTTTGCTTATTATTATTATTGCCATGCAGAATCAAACTATGCATCTGAGTATGAAAAAACAGTTCATCAAAAAATTTGAAAATCTTATAGAGGAAAGAACTACTAAGATCATCACTAATTTTCAAGTCACTCACAACGGTGGTAAGTTCAGGACTACCTCTCATGTTTACAAGATCCAGTTTGCTGCCACGACGTCTATCAGACCTTCTGAAGATTTGGATGCCACAATTCTTGGGTTGAAGTTTGTGAACTTCACTGATATTCACGATGGCAAGTTGAATCCTGATTTTCTAATAGGTAAATGGTATATATATATATATCTCGCATACATTATGAATATGAAACAAAGCATATTACATCTAATTATGGGTTTATATTTATATTTTACAGATATTGTTGGACAAATTGTTAGTATTGGTGAGGTTGAGATTCTCAACGTTAACAAAAAACAGACAAAACGTCTAAAAATGACACTTCGTGACACCAGGTTTTTTAATTCCCTTTGACACCTTAATATTGTTAATAAGACGTCTAATCCAGTGGCGGAGGCAGAAAAATCATTGACATGGGTCATAATAGAAAAAATTGTATAAATTTTAATGGAAAAAGAAAAAAAAATCACCACTGATAAACATCTCAAAGATGTACTCTACGCTCACTCATATTTTGAAATCGTTTTATCACAGTTTCATTTGTGATAGTTTCAAGCACCTGTTTTTCAATAAAACAAACTAGACAATCGCTTAAAAACTCATCACCAATGCTATTACGCAAGGTCGTCTTCACAATTTTCATTGCAGAAAAACACCTTTCGACGGTTGCAGTCGCAACAGGAAGAATCAAACATAGCTTCAAAAGACGATAGACCAAAGGATGAGAAAGATGTTTCCCTGTCTCCACCAATACACAAGCAAGATCACCAAGACTTTCTAGGTTAGTAAACCTATCATCCTTTTGTACATTATCAAGGTAGATGTCAAGTTGATGATCAAGTGATCTCCGCTCTACAAAACTAAAGTCATCTGGATAAAGCTCAGCCAATCTCACCAACTTTGACTTGTCAAATTGACGAAAAGAATCTATCGGAATTAAGGATGCCATACAAACAAGTAGCTCAGAATTCACCTCGTCAAAGCGATCATTAAACTCTTGAAGTTGCATATCTAAGACGGTGTAAAAACAATCCACCTTATAATGATGCAAGTTGGTTATACCAGTCTTTGTCCTTGGCTTTCTTGAATCAACAAACTCGTCCTCGAGATTAGGCATTTCAGTTTCATTTTTGTCACTAAAAGAATAAACTTTAGCCACAAAATCATCCCATCCATCATCTCTAAGCTTTTGCAACTGTCGTTTAGTAGATTCCACCAATGAAACAGCATTCAAGATCTCTTGGTCTCCTTTTTGTAGAGCCTTTGATAATTTATTAGTGAGTCCAAGAACAACAAGCAACATCTGTAGATAGAAAACAAAATCAAAGGTGTGAAAATATTTGAGGAGGCCATATGCTTGTTGTCTGTTGGTGCTGTCTGTGCCATAATTCTGAATATGTTCAAGAACTTCAACAATACACGGAAACATCTCAACAAGGCGCAATAATGTCTTATATGTGAACCCCAACGAGTATTTCCAGGTTTTTTAAGTGATCGGTCTTGATTCAGCCCAGTTCCACTCTTTATTTCACCATTCTTGATTCCTTCATCCATTCTTTTGCGATTACTTTCAGTGAGAACTACTTTTCTTTTGCAAGAAGCACCAATCACATTCAATAAAAGATGAATCATGTCAAAAAATTCTCCTACTTGATTATGTTTTTTTGCAACAGCCACAACAACCAACTGTAATTGATGAGCAAAGCAATGAACATAATAAGGTACCTACTTTCTTTCAAAATAGCGCAATCCATTGAACTCTCCTTTCACATTGCTAGCTCCATCATAACCTTGTCCTCTCATCTTTTTAAACTCAATGCATTTTTGGCAAATAAAGAATCAATAGCATGCTTTAGAGTTAAAGAAGATGTCTCTTTCACATGACTAATACCAATAAATCTTTCTTTCACTAACCCAAATTTATCAACAAAGCGAAAAACCAAAGCTATTTGCTCTTTATCAGAAACATCAGCAGATTCATCTACCAACAAGGCAAAGATATCATTATCAATTTCTTGGATAACAGAGTTAGTTACCTCTTCTGCAAAGCAATGTGCAATGTCTTTTTGAATCGGAGGAGATGTCATCTGATTATTTTTAGGAGCATTGCTCAGCACAACCTTTCTTACAGCCTCATTCTGACTAGCTGTATATTTCAGAAGCTCTATGAAATTACCTTTGTTTGTTGAGACGTCTTTCTCATTATGAGCACGAAAAGATAAGCCTTGATGTAAAAAGTTTCTAAAACATCAATCAAAGCACTCAAACGGATCCGATACTCATCTTTCATAATATCGTTTTGCTTATGTAAAGCATGCCTGATAGACTGACCTTGTCTCATCAAATCTTCACATTTATTTTTGGCATTGCTGTGAAAACTAGTATGATCACCCACATGTTTACTGAAGCTATCAGCCTTATTCCAGCTAGGTAAACCCGTCGATACAAAAGCATCACACCCACTTTGTTTTCCAACTTGAACTCTGAATAAGTAACAAAATAGGCAAAAAGCCTTTTCTTCTGCCATGCTATACTCTAACCAATCAGGATACTGATCAAACCAATGTGGATTAAAGCGCCGCAATGCATTTCATATTGACTTTTGTTTAAAAGTATGACCTCGAGGTTGACAAGGTCCTATAGTCAAGTATTGCGTCGTACCTTATCTCTTTGATCAGGATGATAATCTTGAATGTTTTTTCGCTTTGCGGATATGTGGTAAATCATCCAATTCAATATTAGATGGTGGAGATCTTCTTTTCAGAAACTGTTCCATTGTGTTTGACTCTTGAATGTTTTTTCGCTTTGCTGGATCATGTGATAAATCATCCAATTCAATATTAGATGGTGGAGATCTTCTTTTCAGAAACCGTTCCATTGTGTTTGACTGTTGAATGTTTTTTTCCTTTGCTGGATTTATATTAGATGGTGGAGATTTGTTTTTTTCAGAAATCGTTCCATTATATTTGACAGTACAACCTACATGTACACCAAAACAAAAATATGTTAATCATAATTTAATATTTAAAAATTTGTAGCATAATATATAAAACAAATTGTGTACTATTATGAGAGGCATGGATGGTTGATGTCTATATTTTAAATTGCTTAAAATAGACAGTCAAGCAATTTAGCCACATCTTAAGAGATTTTTAAAAATAAAAGGAAGTTTCATATAATTACTTGAAACTTATCTTGCTGATCGATATACAACTTCCCTTTTAAAAAAAACACCAATGTGGAGCTTAGTTTCTAAATTATATTAGAATGAGTCCACAACTTATAAATAACATTTTAAGATGAATGAATCTTATATATAGTGAAAGTTTTCCTTCTAAACAATTGAACTTGCCGATGTGGGATCAGTACTCTTAATGCAACATTTTTTGTTTTTTGTGAATCCACGTGGGTCAACTGACCCAGGTCCAGCAAGGCTCCCTCCGCCACTGGTCTAATCTTTTTTGTGTTTTAGTGATGTGCGCCTGAATTGTGTTTTCTGGGGGAATTATGCCGAAAGTTTGGAGAGTGTTGCTACACATGCAACCAATCTACCATTTGCTTCGTGTTACGATTTGGAAAGTTAAGATTGTATCAAGGTACGAAACAAATGTTTAGGTATACAACCAAAATATTGTTTTTTATAACTATACATAACTTTCAAGCCATTTCATTATTTAGGTGTATGGAGCATTGATAATTGTTATAGTTCTTCAATTGTGATCACAGATCCTGATCTCCCTGAAATAAATGTTTTTAAAGACCGGTATATTTATAAAATCTAAAACTTTTACACTTTTCATTTTAGTTTACTTTCATATCACTAAAATGCATCAAATTTAATTTCCTTTACAGCTTACCAAAGGATGATGTGACTTTGTCATACACACACCCTAACCAATTGACCATTGTCAATTCTGTTTCTGTAAGAGATGATTTCTTTTTACATATCCCTCGCCGGACAATAAGTGAAATACTTGGTGCTTCTGCGGTATTTTTTTCATTCAAATACACATATTTCTTAAACAACATATGGCGATTAGGTTTTTAAAAGTTTAGCAATGCTTCAATGATTAGGTTGAAAAATGTGTGACTATGGCTACCATCATGTCGATCGACACTGAGTTTGGATGGTACTATATGTCATGCAAAGTGTGCTCTAAAAAGGTGCTTCCTCTTGAGATGAATTTGTTGAAGGAGCAATATCAAGGGAGGCCATTTCCTAAACAATTATGGAAATGTGGCAAATGTAAGGATGATGTTGAAAGTGTTGTACCAGCGTAAGTATGTACAAAAGTTTTAGTTATAAACAAATATTTTAACTATTTAATTATAATAACAATATTCATATATTGTCCTATGATAACTTAGGTTTATGCTGACTTTCCGTGTTATGGACAACACTGGCGAAACAAAGTTCTTAATCTTTGATAAGCTTGCCATGGAAGTTGTAAATCAAACAGCTGCACAATTGACTGAATCTGTGGAAGAGGTAGTTATCCAGTTTACTATCAACTCTATTATAGTCAATCTTACTATATATATTAAAAAACTTATATGTTTGCTAAACTGCTTGCAGATCCAAGACCCAGACATTCTACCTCTTCCAATTAGTAACATGTGTGGGAAAACTTATCTGTTCAAGCTATCTATTGAGAGTTCAACCATCGGTTTCAACAGTGACGTCTACAAAGTTACAAAGATTGTGACCCAAAGTGATATGGTCAAAGAATTCTCAGAAATATCCGGATTTTTGGTTTAATCCCTAAACTATTTATTCATATTACTATTTATTCATATTTCATTGCCTTTTGATAATTGTTAACTTATTGTTTTATTTATAGACTACCCCTGATGTCAAGTCTGAAGAAATAGGGTTTATAACTCCCGATGAACAGGTATGCTAATTTGTTATTAGATGCCTCTCATTAAGATTATATTTGTTCACACCTGTCATTTTAGGTTCCTAAGATGTTACTTGACAGTGGTGACGATGATAATTCACCACAGTCAAAAAGGAAAAGCGAGGAGATGATTGACTTGGATGATCATAATGGAGAGCAGTCTACTTCTAAGAAACCTTTCACTGTGGACATGAAGACTGGATCGAGTGAAGAAACGATTTCTCTGAAGCCTGTTAAGAAGGAGAAAGTTGATGACTGAAGTCTTCGTTTCTTTAACAAGATGCATTATCCTGCTTGCTTTGTTTCTTAGGATTTACTACAATATCTCATTGTTTAAGCTTCGGTTATTTTTTTTCTTGCCCGTAGGATTTGTCATTTGCTGTTTTCAGATGTTCTTGAAATTTGTTATTTGAAGTTTAATAAAAACATGAATTTTTAACTATATTATGTTTTGCTATGTTAATTAATAACTACGGAATTTTAATTTATCAGTATAAATAACAAAGTAAAATACCCTTTCATATACGGATTGTTTTGCCAAGCAAGCCTAATATCAAAAGAAATTCTGCATGGCAATTAAACATTTACAGCATTCATGCAAAATATTTGGAGCCATTATTACTTTGGTAATACGGATATCTTTTTAGCACTTACGATTAGAGTTGTATCCTAAAACAACTCTGTATTTAAATATAAAAATATATTTACATTTTACAATATTAGAAAAATGATCGTAACTACCATATTATGTCGTATATAGATGCTAATTGGTGAATATTACACAACCAATCATAATTAAAACAACTTAACTTAATTATGAAATTTTCCATGTTCAGATAAATTCTCAATTTATTTGTAATATTAACAAATTTTCAGAATATTGTAACTATCCTATTAAGATGCCTACTACTTCTCATTTTTTAATATTAAATATATCCTACTCATATATCGATTCTCTACATTCGCACAAATCTGTAGAAAAATGAAAAAGAGCAAAAAATCGTCTTCTGCAATGGATAATGAACATGACATCTTAACCAAAAGACAGAAATTGGAATTCATCAACCCAGGTATAAAATTTATGGTTTATTCACTAATAAACTCAAATTTATACTTGGATTTTGATATTCTTAACTCAATACAATTTATTACTTAAAATCCGATTTTTAAATGGTCTATCTAAAGTTCCACATCTATTTTTCTATTATTTACAGAACACAATGGACATATTCAAGTTACCCCTGCACGAGTACCATTACCAGTACCTATTTCAAATCTTGATGCTTTCGAAAATATTTTGGGAGATATCAGTAATATTCAGAACCCCCTGACAACTTCTAGTACTCGGAAAAGGAATCAATGTAGTATGAGTACGTATTATATTTATTTCCAGTCGGCCAAGATGAAACAATTAGACAACTTATATTGCTCAACTATTTATGATTGTTTTGTAATTAGTTAATAAACATGGAGTGAAACCTTAAAGTTTTCATTATATACAGATCCCAATGGACAGAATGAAGTTACCCCTAAACGAAAAGCATTGACAGTTCCAATTTCAATTCCTGGTGTTTTCTGAAATATATTAGGAGATATCAGTAATACCGAAATAACTCCAGTGCTTCAAGTTATCCTTAAAGGAACCAACTTAGTCCGAGTATGTAGTATATTTATTTTCATTGTAATCAATTTATTCATTGACAACTGCATTATCTTGATATTTTGTTGTTCTCCTGTAACATGAGTAACAGGAAAAGAAAATTACACAGTTACACAAACAAGTATTTTTTAACCCTTCTTCTTTATGTTTTTGTTGTCCTGAGTGAAACCACTTTTATAACTGAAATATTTTCTTTATAATATCTAGCAAGCTCAGTCACTCCATGTTATGACTCAAATCAACTTCTGCCAACTATACCACCAGCAAATATTTGTGATAGTCCATATTCTATATCAGGATACTCAAATATCACATATAACCAAAATCCTGATAAGACCAGGAGAAAAAAAAACTCAACCAAGTAAGCTTACATTTATATATATATATATATATATTTATTATAATCAAGCTTTATATACATTAATTCATTTAGTTTAATATTTTTTTAATCAATTTAATTAGTATAAATATGACTACTTTGTTTCATATTCATTTTCAGAAAAATTAGATCAACCGATTGTTGGAAAATATGTTTTACCCGATAGAAACATAACAGATGTTCCAAGAAATCTCAATTTCTACGCTGGACCTTCAAGTTCAAGAAATAAAAATCTAGAATTGAGTCGTCCATCTAAAAGTTCTAGAAGTGCACATACGTTTATATTTATTTTAATTCAATCTCTGTTATACCATTTCCATTTTATATAATGAGTTTTTCTTTACTTGATCTTCATCAACTAGCAAAACGAAGAGATGATCCATCAAGATACAACATATGTGAAAAGATAGAGTCTGCCCGTATCCTTAATAACTTAGTTGTTATATCCTGATTGTTTATATACTCGACTAATTAAAGAGATTGCTTAATCACAATGGTGTCCTTCATATTATCAATTAATAGTTGTTTCGTTTTGGAACTCTGCTATGGAGAAAGCAATGCAACAATGTAATATATCACCCAAAACTATTTCGCAATCAGGTATCATGTATTATATATGTTGCAATATTAGTGTATATTTATGATGTATATGACAGAGAAAATATATTTTATCTTATCTAACATTTTGATAAGTTGGTTTACTAAAAAAATAGGCTCTGTTACTTCATCGACTTCTACTTTATCTAAAAACCAAGAAAAAAAATCTGCAAGGAAAAGGAAAGGTATAGTCATGTATAAGTTTATAGGGGAATTCTTAAAGACTTTAAATTAATATTGGACGTCTTTTAATTGTTATATTTCTTCAATATTTGTACAGATACATCCAATGATCCTATTCCTCAATCACAAAGTTACCCACTAAGTAACATTAGCAATTCTATTTTTGAGAATCAAAGATTGTTAAGGATTAATAGGAGACAGGTTATGTTGAATAAGAGACATGCAAATATTTAAGCTTCAGGTATGTATATTCATGTTACTTTGCAAGGTCTTCTATAGTCTATCGTCATTATTATTGTCGTGTATTGCAAGGTCTTCTATAGTCTATCGTCATTATGATTAAATTTTTCTATATCATTCACTTCCACGAACATGAATGTGTTGTCAGGAACTTCGACAATCTATGATCCAAGTGATTTACAATCTACACTATCATTGGAAGGTGTAGAAAAGAATTATACACCTTCAAATGATCGTGACGTCCCTGTATGTAGTACTGTTCAATCTCTAGTAGATATTGAACATGTGATTCAGCCTAATGGTAACATAGTTTACTTTGTATGTATCAGCTTAGTGTTTACTGATACATAATAAATTAGAATTCGTCATGTTATAGGTTATCACGATGATGGCAACCCTATTTATCATTGTACCCACTGTTCTGCCCGTATGTGGTTTAACGAGAGGATCAACAAGAAAAAAAAATGAAGACATACATTTTCACGCTGTGTTGTATGCAAAGAAAAGTAAAGCTCCCAATGTTACACCAACCTCATCCTCTACTGTTATATCTCTTCACAAGTGACGATGAGATTTGTCGTCATTTCCGTGAAAACATCAGAGCATATAACATGATGTTTTCTTTTACCTCTATAGGAGGTAAAATAAATCATGATATAAACAAAGGTAAAGGACCACAGGTTTTTCAGCTACATGGTGAAAACTACCTTCTTATTGGTATTTTGATGCCTAATGCAAATGAAAAACCCAAGTTCTTACAGCTTTATATTCACGATACGATTAATGAGATTCGTAACAAAGAACTTTCATTAAGGTACATAATTATTTATTCATTGTTTTAATTCTGACTGTGTTTACTATGACCAAATTTGAATATATTTTAATGTTTTCATTTATAGCAAGAATGGAAAAATTGACAACAAGCTATGGCCTGAGTTAATTGAAGCTTTAATGAAGATGTTAAATCATTGCAATCCGTTGGTTAAAGCTTTTCGTTCTGACAAGGACATGTACCAAAATTCAGGTATTGAGGATACTGTCTGAATGGCTCTTATAGCCAAGAGAGATAAAGATGCTAGAACACATAACTTGCCAACTGCAACAGAAGTTGCTGCATTAATTCCTGGTGATTTTGAAGAAGGGTTAGACAATAGAGACATTATGTTAGAAGCAAATGATGGAAATCTTCGAAGAATCAGTGAATTATACGTTGGTTATCTAGCTCTGCAATATCCTCTGTTATTTCCTTACGCTGAAGATGGCTATCAAGTTGGTATTGAAGATGGATTTTCACATAAAGAGGACAGAAAAAGGAAAAATATCAGCATGAGAGAATATTATTCATATCGAATTCAGGATAGGTTGATGGAATTTCAGGCAATAATTCGGTCTAAACGACTATACCAGCAATTTTTTGGTCGACGTATTTACAATGATTGAAGCTAATAGATTACGATACTTCAGGAACAACCAAGTCAAACTTAGGTCTGAGAAGTTTGTAAATTTAGTGAAAGCGCATAATGAAGGCCAGAGTGATCTATCTAATACTGGAAAACTTATTTTGATTCCTGCATCTTTCACTGGTGGTTCTAAGTACATGAATAACAATTACTTGGATGCAATGGCGATTTGTAAATACTTCGGATTTCCCGATTTAATTATCACTTTCACTTGCAATCCAAACTGGTCAGAGATTGTTAGGTATTGTCAGAAACGAAATCTGAAACCTGAAGACCGGCCTGATATTTGTTGTCGTATATTCAAGATGAAGCTGGAATCCCTAATGACAGATTTGACTGAAAAAAAATAGTTCGGTGAAACTTTTTGTGGTATGCTTTAATATATCGAGTTTATGTCATTTCATCTACTAATACAATATATTTTACTCTACTGATTATGTATTATACTATTTTACAGGAATCTATACAATTGAATTCCAGAAGAGAGTACTTCCTCATGCTCACATTTTGATTTGGATGGCATCAAAATACAAATTTCCTACACCTGAATCAATAGATAAAGTAATATCAGCTGAGATTCCTAATAAAGAAACTGATCTTGAGTTATATGAAGTTGTGAAGCAGAACATGATACATGGTCCATGTGGTAATATAAATAAGAGTTCTCCATGCATGGTAAATGGACGGTGCTCCAAGATGTTTCCAAAGAAATACTGTGACCGGAATGTTGTTGATAAAATTGGTTTTCCACATTATAGGAGGAGACAAACGGATGATTTTGTTGAGAAAAATGGTATCACACTTGATAACAGTTGGGTGTTTAGGAAGTTATCTTTGCGTTATAGAGCACATATCAATGTTGAGTGGTGTACACAAGCTAGATCAATCAAGTACTTATTCAAATACATCCACAAAGGTCCTGATAGAGTTCTAGCTACTATCGAGAATAATGCCAAAAACATTGGTGAGTTTGCGAACGAGGATGATGACGACACATCTGAAGTTACTAAAGATGAGATTAAAGAGTATTTTGAATGCAGATATTTATTGTTTATCGAACTTACAATTATAACAATTCAACACTTCTATTGTTGTTTTCCTCATATGTTAAATTATTTCTAATTTTCTTAATTTATCAACAGATATGTATCTGCTTGCGAAGCAGCTTGGCGTATACTTGCTTTTGCAATACATTATAGAAGTTTGCCAGTGGAAAAATTATATTCCATCTCCCTGGGGAACAACCATGCGTGTATGGTGATGATGACCCGATAGAAACAGTTCTTAATCGCCGATCAGTTCAGAGTTCAATGCTACTTGCTTTCTTTGAAGCTTGCGAAAAATACCCTGAGTTATCAAAGAATCTAACCTATGCAGAATTCCCATTAATGTTTATATACGACAGAAAAGAGGTTGAGTGGAGGCCAAGACAAAAGGGTATGACTATAGGGAGACTAACATATGTTCCTCTAGCATGTGGTCAGCTTTACTATTTACGTGTATTGCTAAACAGGATCCAATGTCCAACTAGTTTTGATTTTTTTGAAAACGGTTGACAATGTTTTATATCCTACATTCAAGGATGCATGTTATGCTTTGGGTTTGCTAGATGATGACACTGAATACATAGAAGCTTTGAAAGAAGCAAGCATTTGGGGATCAGGATCTTTCCTAAGGAAACTGTTTGCTGTTATGCTCATTACGGATAGTATTCTTAATCCATGTGGAGTTTGGAATGAGACTTGGAAACTTCTTTCAGATGATATCATACATCGACGAAGGAGATTAGAAAACAGAGAAGGTATTTACCTTAAATATTTGGAACAAAATATATGTAGGACATTACCATTGTATTATATTTTATTAATTGTTTCCATCGTTTGTTGTAGATTTAACTCTTTCTGAAGACCAACTCAAAAATTATACATTGGATGCAATTGAGATAATTATGCGTAGCAATGGAAATTCTTTGGCTTATTTTGATGGTATGCCTCTTCCATCTGATGGTTATCATAATGCTTCCATTAATCGATTGTTATTTGATGAAAGGAATTATGATAAGGATGAGATGTCTGCTATCCATAATAAGATGTTTCCTCGTTTAACTGAAGAGCAGATGAAAGTATACTCAGAGATAATGGAAGCTGTTACATTAGATCAAGGTGGTGTTTTTTTCCTATATGGGTTTAGTGGAACAGGAAAAACACATTTATGGAAAATTTTGTCTGCTGTCATTCGGTCTAAAAGACAAATTGTATTAAACGTGGCCAGTAGTGGTATAGCTGCTCTTTTATTGCCTGGTGGAAGAACAGCTCATTCACGGTTTGGAATTCATTTAAATCCAGATGAGCTATCTACTTGCAATATGCATCCAGAATCGGATTTAGCTGCATTAGTGGCTGAGGCCTCACTAATCATTTGGGATGAAGCTCCTATGATGAGTAAATTTTGTTTTGAGAGTTTGGATCGGAGTATGCGTGATGTTATAACTAGGCATAAAGATAAACCTTTTGGTGGAAAGGTTGTTGTTTTTGGTGGTGATTTCCGACAAGTCTTGCCTGTTATAACTGGTGGTGGAAGAGAAGATATCACAAGGGCATCTCTATGTTCTTCTTATCTATGGGACGAATGTAAAGTTTTGAAACTAACCAAAAACATGCGTTTATTGGCAGACATTGATGCAAGTATTGCAGAAGAAATCAAATCTTTTTCTGAATGGATTCTTCAGGTAGGCGATGGTAAGGTTAATCTACCAAATACAGGGGAAGTCATGATTGATATACCCGAGAAACTTTTGATAACAGAGTGCAATGAGCCGATTAAGGCTATTGTTGAATCTGTTTATGGATTAGGATTTGAAGACCAAACCGATCCTAAATTTTTCTAGGAAAGAGCAATTTTATGTCCAACTAATGATGATGTATGTGCGATTAATGATTACATGATGTATGCTCTTCGAGGTATAATCTATAAACATAATCGTTATTTGTATTTTTATTGGCTTATTATATGTAGTACTATGGTTTTAATAATTTCTTATTAAAAATGCTTCTTTTTGTAAACAGGTGAAGAGAGAGTCTATCTAAGTTCAGATTCTATAGATCCATCAGATACTTCAAATCATGACAGTAGTGTTTATATTCCAGACTTTTTGAATAACATAAAGATTTCTGGTTTGCCTAATCATTGTATAAAGCTGAGGGTAGGAGCACTTGTCATGTTGCTAAGGAGTATTGATCCCAATAGTGAGTTATGCAATGGAACCAGGCTTCAAGTGACTCAGCTAGCTGATCATATCATTGAAGCAATTGTGTTAACAGGGCATACACTTGGTCAAAAAGTCTATATACCAAGATTGTCTGTTTCACCTTTTGAAGGCAAATTCTCTTTCTGAATGAGACCGAGACAATTCCCATTGATGGTCTCATTTGCTATGACCATCAATAAAAGTCAGGGACAAACACTCTCAAGTGTTGGTTTATATTTGCTCTATCCAGAGTTAAGTCTAAAGCAGGGCTAAAGGTTCTCATTGTTGATAAAGAAGGCAACCCATAGAAACAGACCATGAATGTCGTCTTCAAAGAAATATTCCAGAAGCTTATCAAGTAGAACTATTTGGTAAGTTACTATTTTTTATCTTCTTTATATTTTTGATTTATATATGACGAATTTTTTAAAATTTCATTTTTGTTTTGTCATGTTCAGGAAATTTTGCAACCAACTCTTCCTTGGAAGCAATAATCATTCTACATTTTTTACCCTTTAAGTATTTCTAGCTTCTTTCACACAATTGTAATTCGGATACTATGATATTTTTTGTTATATATTTTTTTCCAAATCATGGAAATGGCCTTTTTATGTATTACATGATAAAATCATTCAGAACGTAGTGATTTTATATATATACTGAATGAAAGAAGTTGTCTGAGATTTTAAATAAAATATTATATGAAAGTTTGTATAGATACTGAATGATTGATATAGTATCCATACATATATATGATCTTTGTTATTATAGTTTCAGAGATTAGTACATGATGTTTTATTACGTATTTGTATTTAATTTAATCAATATTTACAAATATTTGGTTGATTCATAATCTTTCAGTTACCTAATATATTTCTTATTAGTTAAGTTAATATCAATAAAACCCTATTACGTGAAATCCTTTCCGATTCATATATATATATATATATATGGTTATCTTTTACATATAGACTCTCATTCTCTAAATCAGACTTAAAGAGAAAACAAAATGTCTCTTCTTATTGACAAAATTTCTAATCTTGATCAGTGTACAACAGAATGGACTGTGCATCTTAAACTAATAAAGAAGTGGAAGCAGTACACTCGACATCAAGGGACTACCCTTGATATGAATATGATAGATATCGAGGTAAAAAATATGATATCTATAACAGAATCTACTTATATATTTTGTTAACCGAATGCCTAATAACTGGTTTTTATGTTCTCTGTCAGGGTAATAAGATCCAGGCCAGAGTTACAAAGAAATTCATTAGGAAATATGATTGTTTACTGATTGAGGGATCATGGTTTGAAATCGATGATTTTTCTGTAATTCAAATACCATCGTGTAACACTATTCGATCATACAACAAAATGATTCAATTCATAATCTCTACCACGGTTAAACCACTTAATCATTTTGAGGGTACGTATGTTTTATATGTCATCATATTTTTGAATCTAATTATGAAAAACTATTGAATATTATGATCATTTTTTATGTCGAAAATGTATAGTCAGAAGGACATGTTTCAATGGTAGGAGGTGCACCCTTTTTTTTGAACATCTAATGCATTAATTGAGAAGACTAAGCGTTTAATACAGGTAGTTCAGCCAGAGCTTTCTTCGCAATTGAGTCTGCGACAGAATTAAGCGATCTAGAGATGAAATTGAAAGTAACAAGGGAGAAAGAAGCAGAGATCGATTTGATGTCTTGGAGGACGCCATAAATCTCGGCTGGGAGGTCTCCCGACCTGATTGCTGCGATGAGCGTTTGGGAATCTGAGTTGATGTGGAGGATCTGTCTCTGTACAGATCGGGCATACAAGAGGGCTTCTCGAACCGTCAGTGCCTCAGCAACTAAAGGGGAGCTCACAAACTTTTCAGTATGTGAATGCTCGCTGATGGGTTGTCGGTTGGGTTCCACGAATATCCATCCAAGGCCCGCCGATTTGTCCTCGGATCTCCAAGCTGCGTCTGTGAAACAGGTAACGCTATTCGGGTCTGAGACTCTTGAGATCTGAATTTGCCGGTTGCTTGTTGGTGTTGGTTGTTGTGGCTGTGCATCTAACCATTCTCTTGCGTCTGCTACTGCTTTGGTGATGGTTTCTCTGGGAGAGAAGGATCTATTTTCAAACAGGAGGAGGTTTCTGGCGGACCAAAGGGCCCAGCAGATCCATGGAAACAGAGAGCTCGTGGTGAGTCCGGTTGGTGGAAGACACCTCCAGCTTTTTTCTGCTTTCAGTCCGGTGATGAAATTGGGGATGGACTCAGCGTCGACAGGTGAGCTCGTCGGGGCTAGTGTCCATGTAGCTCTCGCAAATTCGCAATGAAGGAAGACGTGATCGGTTGTCTCTAGCTGGTCACATCGTTTGCAGGTTGAGTGGGTTGGGAGTCCTCGAGCTTGGAGATTTTCACCTACTGCGATTGCTCCCTGGATGCATTTCCATAAGAAGATCTTCAGATGAGGTGAGCAGTTCGTATTCCATAGATCAGGATACCAGTTAATTCTTGGTTCAGCTAGGTCGGAGTTGTCTATGTCTTGTCTAGACATCATAGCCATATTGTAACCCGATTTTGTTGTGTATGCTCCCGAGGTTGTGCTGAGCCATGTATACTGGTCTTCAGCTCCGGTAAGACTCGGTCTTCTGCACAAGATTTCATTGAGGAAATCGGGGAGGAGCTCTGCTACTTTCGTTGGATCCCATTCTTTGGTATGATCCTTGAAGAGGTCAGCAACCTTCAGGTTCTGTTTTTCTTTTTCAACAGGGCCATATAGCTTAATTGGTTCCTCTATTGAGATCCAGGGATCTGACCAAAGGTTTGTTAATTTTCCATCACCAATGACTTTGCCAAGGTTTTTCAACAACAGGTCGCGACCAATCAAAATCCCTGCCCAACCATGGGATGAGACAGATGGCTGGGCGACTTCGAGAAAGCTGGAGTGATTGCAATATTTCCCAAGTAGAACCCGAGATAGAAGAGCTTCTGGGTTTTTCAGTATCCTCCAGCTAACTTTGGCTAGCAGGGCATCGTTGAAAGCCTGTATGTCTCTGAGGCCAAGTCCTCCTTCCTTTATCGGTTTTGTGAGCTTCTTCCATGAGGTCCAACTAATCTTTTTTGTTCCCTGCTTGTCGTCCCACCAAAACCGAGTGAGAGCTGATTGGATTCTTTTGCAGATGCTAGCAGGGAGTTTAAAGCAGGACATTGTATACGCCGGGATTGCCGTAAGAACGGATTTGAGTAAAGTGAGCTTTCCAGCTCCCGATAGGAATCGCGATGACCAACTGGCGGCTCGTTGCCGGATTCTGTCCACAATTAAGGTGAACATGTCTTTTTTCCGTCTGCCAAAATATTCAGGGAGTCCCAAATATTTTCCCTGTCCACCCTCTTTACTGATTCCCAGCTTTGCTTTGACTCTTTCCTTGGTTTCAGAACTTGTTTTTGCCGAAAAGGTGATGGAGGACTTTTCCACATTGATTTTCTGACCCGAGACCAATTCATATTGTTGAAGGATATTGGAGAGGGTTGAGCAACAACGATCGTTTGTTTTGCTAAAGAACATTGTGTCGTCTGCAAAAAGCAGGTGGTTGATCCTTGGGCTTGTTCTCGCAACACGAATGCCTTGTAAGTGTCCTTTTTCCTGAGCTTGGTTACATAGGCTAGATAGGACTTCTCCACATAAAATGAATAGATATGGTGAGAGGGGGTCGCCCTGTCTGATGCCTCGACTTGGTATCACCAGTCCTTTTGCCATATCATTTATCAGGTAGGAATAAGATACTGTAGATACACACTGATTAATCCATTGGACCCATTTCGGGTGGAAGCCAAGTTTCAGTTGGACAAGCCTTAGGAAGTCCCATTCGACTCTGTCGTACGCTTTGCTCATGTCGGTCTTGACCGCCATTGAGCAGTGCTTTTTTGCCTCAAAAGTCTTTAAGAATTGTAGGACCTCGTGAGTTATAAGAACATTGTCTGAAGTAGCACGGCCTGGTATGAATGCTGATTGGTTTTCGGAGATGATCTTGTGTAGTAGAGGCTGGAGTCTTTGCGTCAAGATTTTAGAGATGATTTTATAGAAAACATTGCATAAGGCAATAGGCCGATAGTCGGATACACTTTTTGGACTCTTTATCTTAGGGATGAGCCTGACATGTGTATGGTTGACGTTTCGTGGCAGGGTGCCAGTCAGGAAGAAGTTCTGGATCTCCTCGGTGATTGCTGGTCCGACAATGTTCCAGTTTGACTGGAAAAAACTAGCAGAGAATCCGTCGGGTCCTGGTGCTTTGTCCGGATTGATGGAGAAAGCAGCGTTCCTCACTTCCAGCTGTGTTGGTGCTGCTATAAGTCTGATGTTATCCTCCTCCGAGATGCGAGGTGAGAGACACTTTTCAACAATCTCTTCTCTTTCTGTTTGTTGAGTGGTGAAGAGGTCTGTATAGTAGCTAGTGATGACCGCAGCAATTTGGTCTTCTTCGTAGACTATGTGGCCCTCCGTGTTTTCGATAAGAGCAAACTTGTTGATAGTCTTTCTCCCTTTGGTGATTGCATGGAAATATCCTGTATTTTTATCCCCTAAGCTCAGCCAGGTTTGCCTACTTCTCTGTCTCCAAAATTTCTCTTCTGCTTTGTAGGCTTCTCTTAGTTTTTGGTTCAGGGAATGGATCACCAGGTCGTTTATTGTAGGTTTTGACATTGCTTCTTCTAGTTTTCCACGCATCTCATCCATGGTTTTCTTGTTATTTGCATGGTGCTCGCGGTTCCACTTTGATATTTCCCTTCTGCATCTGGCTATTCTCGATTTGACGGAGGCACCAGGGTGGGAGTTCCAGGTAATTGAGATGAGCTGTCGGATCTCTTCATTGTTACGCATCCTTCTATCATATCTGAAGATCCCTTGTTTCTTGTGTTTCGTAGGTTCCAGGAAAGAAATGACAGGGCGGTGATCAGATCCCTCGAAGCGATCGTAATGGCAGTGGGCAAGTGGAAACAGCTCAGCCCAATAGCTGTTTGAGCAGGCTCGGTCCAGCCGAGAGTGGATAGTGTGCGAGTTCCTTACTCCCCTCCATGATAAGGCATTTCCAGAGTGGCTCAAGTCGTAGAGGTCGCATTGGGCCATGAATTCCCTGAAGTCTCCGAAGGAACCTTCCGCTCGTTGGGGTCCTCCGGATTTTTCTGAGTTATCTAAAATTCAATTAAAGTCTCCTGTTATGAACCATGTCGCGTCTTTTGATTGAGCCAGGAGCGTAAGCTGTTCCCAAATCTCCTTCCTCTTTGATGTGCCAGGTTCTCCATAAAGGAAGGTTGCGTAAAAGGATTTTCCTTTGTATTTCATGGCGGTGTCAATGTAGTCTTTGCAGGCCGTCAAGATAGAGATTTCCGCACTTTAGTTCCAGAAGAGGGCGAGTCCTCCACCTCCTGGGCTGTGAGGTGGTACCAAGTGGTGATCATAGGTACTGAGATTGGTGAGTTTCTTGGTAACGAAGTCATTTCCATTCTTTGTTTCCATGAGGAATATAATGTCTGGAGCTAGGTTCTTATGCAGCTCCTTTATGCGATGAACTGTTGCAGGATTCCCCAGCCCACAACAGTTCCAGCTCACAAGCGTTAAGGAACCGGACCTTGCGGATGGTGAAAATCCGCCTTGTCCTTGGAGATTGCCGGAATGATGACGCTTCTTGGTTGGTTGGCTGATCGACTTGGTCCCGAGTTCGTAGGGTGTTGTGCCTTAGGACTCGTAGGAGTTGCATTCAGCGGAGTCTGTGTGGGTCTGTTCTGCTTATCTATACTCCTTGATGGTCCTGCAGTTATCCTTCTTCTGGGAGATTGTTGTATCTGGTGAGCTTTTAACTTTCTCGAGCTAGCTCCTCGTAAGAAGATGGGACTTGGTTTATTAGTTCTCTTTGTTGGGGGTCTGCCTCTTCTCTTTTTTGCAGGTTCGATTGGTTCAGACTCTTGGGAGCTGTTGATTTGCAGACTTTTTGGAGGCGATCAGGCCGACTCCTCAATTCCGCTCCTTACTCTCAAGGTTTCTTCTCCTACTCTAGGAACTCCAGTGGTGATGGTCTGGTGTGTTTGCTGCCTCGGTAATGAGGCTGCTGCGATGATTTGAGCTGTTTCCTCCATCATGCCTTGCCTTTCTCCTTCATAAACTCTTTGTAGTCGTGCAGCACTTTCCACTGGATCTGGGAAATTAACATACTAGATGGTGACTTCCTGTAAGTCTTCCATAATTTTAGAGATGCGGTTTGGGGTGGGGGAGGGGAAGGCCACTAGATCCAGGTTACGTTCCAGGGGGAGTCTGTCAGGTATGTTTTGCGAGGACCCCTCGGTCTCCGTGTGATTATTTGCATTTGTCTTTTGTCTCCAGACTTGTTGCTGAGGTGTTGAGTGGGGTTTCTCAGGGAGACGTGTTGGACTCTCTCTACGACTTCGGTGCCGGCCCTCAGCTGAATCCGAATGGGAGGTGGATCTCCTGTCCCGTCTGTGGTGAACGTTAGAGGTGGGGGGTCTGTGTCCAAGTCCTCGTTTGGGTTCTGTTCCCCGATTTCTTCTGTTTTCTATCTGGGAGGTATCTCCATCTCTGGAGGCTTTGAGCTCAGAGGGTGGTCTCCAAACGATCTGCCATGTCTGTCAGTTCGAGATTTGTAAGGTGTTCCTCTCCCTTTTTGGTTGTTGTCCAAGCTTTTCTTTGCGTCACTGGGTTGGGTAGACGTCGTGTGGTAGTCGTTGCGCTTTGCCTTGTTCCTCGTGTTTGGGCAGTTGGTAGTAGAGTGGGTGAGGCGTTGGCATATGGAGCAGTGGTTTCCCAGCTTTTCATAGGAAAGGGTTACAAGCACTTTTTTTCCTCCTGTAAACTCCATGATGGTTTCCTTTATGATAGGTTGTAGACCATCGATGGTGACGCGGATCTTCGCCGAAGTTTTGGTGATGGTGAAGGTATCGAGGTAGCCAAGTTCCTTGCCGATGCTGGAGATTAGCTCTGGTTTCCAGTAATGGAGGGGTAGGCCCTTCAGCTCAATCCAAAAGGGGATTTGGGAGGGGAAATCTGCGGAGATAATGGGCTCCCATCTCTCAATGATGACCATCCAGCCAGCGTATTGGTACGGTCTGTTGTCCAGTACTCTTTTTAAGTCGTCTTTGTTGTCGAATCTGTACTGGAAACAGCCATGTCCTAGGTCTGACCCTATGGTTTTCCCCTGCAGGTTCCATCTTTTTGGTAGGAAGGGAAGCATGGCCCAGATTCGTTGTTCAACGGTGTTGGTAAGTCTTCCTATCAGAGTGAGGGAGTTTTCCTGGATGAGATCTGATGTATCCATTTCTTGGACTTTGATTCTTTTGCGAGGAGGGCTTCTTGGTGAGTAGTCAATCGCTTTGCCTTTCTCAGTAGCGGAGAGTCTGCGAGCCATTGTTGAGACAAGTGTAGAGGAGCTGCCGCTGTTGCTGGAAGTGATGTAGATGTCCTTGCTGTTGTCCGCTGCCGTTGTAGAGGGCCCTCCGACGATGGTCGGGGGCGGAACCCGGTGTATCTGTTTCAAAGGCGGTTTTAGATTTGAAAGAATTTGCTATTTTGGGTAAAAACAGGGTAGATAACGGTCACTATCTACCAAAACCAGGCAGGTTGAAACTGTCTTGAGAGTTGTGTCTGGGAGAGAAAAACCATGAAATGGAGATAGTATATCTTAGTAGCATTGTAGGAGGTGCACCCTATATTATTCATTTAAATAGGTAATCCTGATTATGTGGACTTTTTATTTATATTAGAACTGATGAATGCACATACTATTAAGAATTTTATGTTTTTTGATATTAACAATATATGTTTGTTGAACTATGCAGGTTTATAAATAAGCCCATGGATGCAGCATGAATAAGACGTTTATTTCAAAATAATTTAGCAGATACATATCGAATCAGATTATCTGTTAGACTTTTATTTTATTTGTATTATTTAAGTTATTTGTTATATCGACCTTTATGATATTATTTATTTTGTATACCTCAATAATAGTTGATTTAATTCAGTACAATTTATCATATATTAACTCTTTAAGTGAATAATTATTCAGACAAACAATATGTAAATTTTCTAAATTGATGTTTCCGAATTAACAAAGTAATGAATTAGAAGACAAAACATATATAAATGATAAGGATTTAATATTAAAACACCATACTATATACAGATTAATGTAACCGACGTTTATTAAAGACATCATCTATATAAAGAACACATTATGGTAAACAAATATTTACCTAAATATATGTATGAATCAACTGAATAAATTTTTTATGGAAATATATGTATGAATCAACTCGCCTAATTACTTAATTAGATGTATTTTTATGGAAATATATGTATCATATTTGTTTTATATATATTTTATATCCTTATTCACTATGACAAACAAATTTCACTATATTCAATATATCTCATGATAATTAGTTGGACTAATATGAGTTTGCCTAAATATATTCAATTTCAGAAAAGCTGCATATTTAGCAGAAAGAGTGCAGTTGATTGACCGATGCATATACCTTTTTTCCAAAATGAATGAATCTTTCAAAAAAGTAAATTGCATAACCTTATTGGTTACATAATCGGTTTCTAATCCCTTTAACGTGTAGGGTTTTGTTTAAACAATTTAATTATTATATATCCTATCAAATTAGATATCCTTGCCGTTAAACTTTTGTAACATCCATTTTATTAAATTGCTTTACTCTCTTTGAAACAGAAATTTACACACTAGGGTAATGGCTTCTTATGACTACATCAACGATTCGCATCTCGATAGAACAAATTGGAGCCTCCGAGTTAAGGTACTGAAGAAATGGATTGACCAAGGAACTCCTAATCGTGATTCTTTACAGATGATGCTCATGGACGAAGAGGTTTGTTAACTATACTAATTTCTAATTTCTTATATTGCTTATTTTGGAACATAACTTTTCATATACAGGGTGATATGGTTCAAGCATATCTGTATCATGCCGGTTTGATAAAGTTATATGATAGAGAAATTAACGAGGGTGATTGGAAGACTATCACAGATTTTGTGGTCTTTGAAGATCCGTTACCAGAACCAAATTCTCCAATCGGTTGGGCTATACATTTATTGGAAAATACGACCATAACTGATACTGAACCAAGGGAAGTGGAATCTGGAAAGGGCTTCTATTCTTTCTCAGAAATTCTTAAAGGCAAAACCGATACTGAATTCCTTGTTGGTAAACATTCTAACTTTTATTTCAAATTTAATATTTATTGAAATAGGTGTATAATATTCAGGTTGCATGGAACTGATTAGGTCCTTTTATACATATATATATATATATACAGATCTGTTGGGTTTTGTTATTAGTACTGAAGAACTAAAGGTTGTAAAAGATCAAACTTGCCTAAATAGGCCTAACAAAATGACTCCTTCTATCACTTTCACAATGAAGGATCACAAGTAAGCATTGCTCATTATGTTATTTTTTATAGTTTAAGTTTTTTTTTAATACGAATATTAAATACTTCATATTTTATCGTGTAGTGATATGCAGATTCAGTGCAATGCCGTAGGACAGTTAGCTGTTGATTTCAATAACAAAATATGGGATGTCAGACAAATCCCTGCTTTGTGTCTTCTAACTGATTGGAGTATCAAAAATGATGGAGGTTTGTGTTACAGTATAACTCTTTATATCGTTTTTTATAAATATGGTGACATGTTAATTAAATACATTCATTCATTTACAGGTAATATATATCTCAAAAGCAGAGGTGGAATAACAAGATTTGAATTTCACCCTGAGTTAGAAGTAGCAGAATCATTTTGTAAAATGTAATAATTTTTATTTTGTCAATCTTACTTTTTCACTAATTTGTTTACATAACTCATAACTATTTTTATATATGTCATTTTTCTAACTAGGTTTTGGAATAATGAGAAGAAATCAAACCAGTCAAAAAGAGCACTGAAGAATGATGCCGAGGCTACATCATCTTCGAAGAAGCAGAAGAAATGAAATACTGATTATGTTTTGAACTTTCGTGTGGGATGATAAATAAGATACATTATGTTTTTATCTTTTGTTAAGTTTAAATGTTTGGACCTTATATTTTGCTTTATTTATATAAATTGCCTGCTTCTTAGTATTATCAAATTTCTCTCAGAATACATACATCGCATAGTATTGATAAGTATGTATATGTTTGATATTTGCATTACGAGATAGCTAATATATATTTCAGTTGTCTTCAAAATTTAATTCATATTAAAATATAAACATAATTCAATTTTCATATTTTATTTCCTTATATTTTTTCCATATTGTCTCTTAAATCTGTGAATTAATTGTATACTCATTATGGTAATCATATATATATGAATATGACTATATGATACAAATATTAAAATTTACTCTTCATACAAGAATTATCATTCCACTATTGAATTTTATATTTGCGATGCACTTAATCTGATACATATCCTTATAACCTTCTTAATAAAATATCATTCCTGCAAGAAAATTCAAAAAACGAATGTCATATCCAACTATCAAATCTGAACAGACCATTCCATGCATAGACATTGATAATAATGCAAATAAATTTATCTTTGAAGATTCAGTAAAACAATTTCAACGTTACTGTCAGTATATTCATTATGTAGAGAATCTATGTTCATGTAAATCTATGCGTAAATAACTTTGACTTGATATATACCAACTTCCTACTTTCCTATATTATATTGTCTATCAATGCATACATTGTCTTTGTAAATCCAAAAAAGTCAGAAACAGTTACTCTGATATTAATAACTGCTTCTTGATATCTATATACCAAATCTTCTCAATCGTTGCAACTCTCCAAAAATGTTTTAACTTTCCAAAAAATAACACACATCGCATCTGTTCAATATTTTTTCTATACATACTACATTTTCTCTCCTAAACTGTTATCTTTCCATTCATACGCCTAGAAAAAACCCTACTCTCTTCTTTCATCCAAAAACTCCATCTTTTACCAAAAGAAGAAGAATCTAATGGGTGAGTACGCAGGTGTTAACAAACTTCATGCATGGAGAGATGATTGGATCATTAAGGTCAAGGTTTACAAGCGCTGGTCAGTTAAAGACGACGCAGGCTTACCGGCAATGAACTTCATTTTTGTTGACGAGAATGTAAGTTATATATTTGACATTAGTTATCTATTGTATGATTGCTATGTTTACATAGTTTTATTAATATTTTTGTATATTTTACAGGGTAACAGGATCAATGGATTTGCTACAAACAGAGCACTATCCTATTTTGAATATGTCTGTACCCAAGGAAAATGGGTGAGGCTAACTAATTTTCGGATAGCCAATTCTGAATGGGAACTAAAGGGAAGGACTACAAACCACAGTCACCAAATTATCCTGACACACGAGGCAAAGGCTGGATCTCTCAGGCCACAGACAGAAGATCCATTCATCAACTTGGTTGAATTCAGTGCTATCTACCGAAAACCATTTGCGCAGTACTATCCAGTTGGTATGTTATTTTTAGACACTATATTTTTCATTGCATGTTCTGTTTACATAATTAAGTTTGCGTACACATACAAAACCTATTATGCTTTAAGATTTTGGTTTAAGTAACTGAAATATCTGATTATGTAATTAGATTTGATGGGAAGTCTTGAATCTATTGGCGAGGTCTACACCCAGTGTTATCCAGATGGAGAAACAAAGCGAGTTCTTGAGTTCACCCTTAAGGATGCAGAGTATGATAATAGTTTAAGTTTGTTTTAAATTTTGTTACTGTTTTTTTTCCTGACCCTTCGTTTGTAATCAACTTAGGGATTATTCCTTCAAATGCTTTGCATATGGTGACTTTTCTGTGGACATCAGAGAAATATGTAAAGGATTCACAGGTCCCTTCACTATTTGTGTTTTAACTGATTGGACAGTTAAGAAGAATATCGGCATGTATATATTTGTACTAGATCATTTTATCAAATTATTTGTGATTTGGAGAAACATGCAATTTCTCATTGGATTTATGTTATCTGTTTATATGAACTGACTATCCATGAACATGAAAACACTGGCTTCTCTCGCTTTCTACTTGCTCCACCCATCGATCAAGTTTCAAAGTTCAAGAACAAGTAAGCATTCAAATTATCTTTCCTTTTACGTTTCAAAAACTCAAACTTTATATAAATGAGTCGTCATTTATATTTTGCAGGATTACCAAAAAAATGATGGCTTCGTCTTCAACTCAAGGAACTTGCGCAACTAATGTCGACTAGAGATGCATCATCATCTGTTGCGTTTTAAGTATTTTTATTTTCTAATTCTGTGGTGTGATGTTGAACTTTTCTATTTCGGCTAAAACTTAAAACTTATCGTATGTTTTTGTGGATCTTTTC